CACATGGCACGTTTAAGGGCCAGGCACCGCAATGATTTGCCTAGCTTCTGAAAACTTTAACAGGCAATAAAACCTACGATGGTTGATAGACGATTGCAAAATCAGTAATATCTATTAACTCCCCACTCCCCACGCCCAACAAGCAAAGCAGCAGAATGTCTCTGGGGTTTAACCAGTTCTCTAAGGGTTAAACAGTTCTTAAAGTCTTCTCTGCTGTGGAAATGGCTGGCTGGCTCCTTGGTTTTCCAGTCTTTTTATTGGGAGCTTTGCACAAGCACTTGTTCCCATATAAAAGCGTTCACTAAATTTGAGGTCAAGTAACACGTTTTTGTTTCAGGAGCTGAACCGTTTACGAAAGGCTGCCCTGGCCTTTGGTTTTTTGGACCTGCTCAAAGGGGTAGCTGACATGCTGGAAAGGGAGTGCACACTGCTGCCTGACACAGCCCACCCTGATGCTGCCTTCCAGCTGACCCACGCCGCCAAGCAGCTCAAGCTGGCCAGCACCGGTGCCTCGGAGTATGCTGCTTATGACCACAATGTCACACCTTTGCAGACAGACTTCTCTGGGAGCAGCACGGAAAGACTGTGAAACTGATATTTGGAGCCACTTTTCTGTTTCATTTCCAGAGTGCAGATGATTTAGGGGAAAACCTTTGTATCTGCTCACCTCTGCAAGAGCCATCTGAAGACCTCCCTGAGGCTGTCTCAGAAACATCACTTGCTGGTTTGAATGATTCTACCAGTCTGAGAAGAGTTGAAAGGTGCTTGGCCACTTAGGCTCTCTGGGGCTCTGAGCCACCAGAACTTGCTCCCTTGATGGACATGTCTCCTGAAGTTTCAGTGGCTGACAAGCATAGCTCCCCATTGCTGCAGGAGTTGTTTCCTGGCTTCCTGAAAGGAGTCATCTCATACCTGTTTGCTATCACAACCCTATTGTCAAGCTTCTGTCTGTGGAATGAGCAACTCAGACCACCTTATATTTATACCAAGTATAAGATCAACTCAGTTTCAGAGCTTTGCTTAGAACTTGGTCAAAATGATAACCCTTAGGTACTTTTATAACTTGAGATACAGACTTTTAAACAGCAACCACACATATGTGTAAAATGGGAATTCAAATTTTGTGTGTGGTTTTTAAAATGAAAATAAAACTGATTTTCTAAAAAAAATAGTTTCACTTGAAATTAATGGCCATATTATGTTCCCTTGAATATCATTTCAACTTCTTAAGCAGCACAGATTTATAAAATCATGTCTTCTTGGGTTCTATATTGACTTCCTTATTCAGGCAGATCAGGCCTCAGTGCCAGGTTGTAGTTGCTGCTGGGTGGATTCCAATTCATGGAGACTCATGTGTGGTGGAGTTTTCCATAGTGTTTTTAATGGCTGGTTTTTCCAGAGTAGAGTACTATGCCTTCTGAGTGCTCCTCGGTAGACCCAAACCTCCAATCTTTTAGTAGCCACGTATATTATATGTAATATGGAAATTCAAGTTTTGGGTTTTTTTTGTGCGAAAATAAAGATTTACTGCAAAACATATAGTTTCACTTGAAACTAATGGGCATATATTGCCTTTTGGTCCAACATGTCACTTGAGTCTTGGTGTAGTGTTGTGTAGGATAAGCAACGGACTGCTAACCACAAGGTTGGCAGTTCAAACCAACTGCTCGGTTTGGCACCTCACCCATTCCTTGGAAACCCATACGGTATCGCTGTGAGTTGGAACCAGTTCAACAGCACATCATAACAAATACATGAACCATTTCCATTACTCAGGGACTCTGAGCCAGGTTCATTCCAGCTAAATTAATAAATCGCTGAATTCAAAGCCAGTTTTGGATCCAATTCATCAGCTAGGTTGATGATCTTTGGCAAGTAACATAACTTCTCCAGGATTTATTTACACAAACAGTGATTTCAAATGCTAAGGTAGAGTCCTTGGATTTCTGGGCCCTGTACCCCCACTTTCACATAATATGCTGAGCATAGGACTTCACTGAGAGTTTGGAAAACTATTAAACTAAATGATACTTAAGCACACATACTAGAATTTTGCTTGCAAATATTTTAATAGAAATACACAATCTTTTGTTTTCTCCAACAGCAATAAAGGAATTTGTAACAATCACTAAAAATACAGGATTCTGCCACAAGGATGCAGCATAATCTACTGCAAAGCTGATCTGCCCAGTTACACACAGGAACTCAGCTGAAAGACCAGAAGTCAGTACAAACAAGTGTGGACAGGAAGGTAGAGGCATGCGAGTTATCCTTCAGTGTAATGGAGTTACTTTTAAAAATCAGCCAGCCTATGCTAGCCAAGAGCTTCAGCACAGGTCAAGCGTCCCTCCTGGGCTTACAGAAACAACTGCTAACTCCTCGAGCCTCCTCTCCCCCAGGAGCAACAGGAATGATGCAACCAAAAGAGCTATCATATCAGGCCTTAAATTCTTTTACTCAAGTATTACTTCTAACACTTTGTTTACTTTGCATGTTTGGGAGAAAATTGCTGTATTTTAGAGTGGACATGCTTCATATAGCTAGGGTTTGTTTATTTCTTCCCCTCCCAGGTACCCCACTGGTATGTTTGCTACCAGGAATCTTTGTTAAGGATCAGCGGGTGGTTCTTCAGCCAAAGTTCCTGTTCTCTTTTCACTGTGAAAAGACATGTGAAAAAGGCAATCTAATAGCAGAATCAAATTAGGCATTTTTTGGGTCTAACTCAAAAACCTTCCCAGTACTCACTCTGAGAGGTACACAGGTAAAGGGGCTCAGCTAGTGCAGGGGAAAGAAGACCAACTTTTTAAAAAAATGTTTGTTCACAGCTTAAGACAGAATTGTGGGCGTGTCTAGTCTGGCCTATCCAAATGTCTCCAGGTTGCCACGGGTTGCATTGCCAGCAACTCACTGCCCTTGTGACCCACATATTTATGGTCCCTTCTGATCCTGGAGTCATGTTGAATTTGGAATCCTTTTGTTATAATTTCACTGTTTTCTTTAATGTTGAAAAGTTGTGGTGAAGTAAGAGATCATGATATTCCAAGGTTCTGACTGGTTTCTCTCAAACCATCCTGTACCCTGCCCACACAGTCGTAAACACTGTAGTAATAGATTTTGCTAGAAAGGCCAGAAGACGCCAGGTCTTCTGTATGTTCTCTAGCCCCACGCTGACTCAGAAAGGTTTTATCAATGACTGAGCCTAACTTGACTCTCACATGGCTGATGCCACCCCACTTGCTAGTAACCTACCGGATAGAGAAATCCTGCCTGAGTCGTTTTTACACTAGAGCAATGCCGTCTAGCTTTTCTATTCACATGCTGTAGCTGGAATAAAACCCACTTCTCATCTATGTGAATGGCAGTACCTTGTAGGGATGACACTGAAGAGCCATCCCAATATCCCTGACCTGTGTGACACAGACTGGACATGGGGTGGGGTGGGGATGGGGCCCAACCTTTTGCTGTCATGAACCTGTCATCAGGAATCCATGCCATGCAGATACTACACTAGGATAACACAGTAAATTCAGGAATGTTACTGGGGAAAAGGAGGGAGCCTCATGGAGAATTAAATCATTTTAACTTAAAAAAAACTTTTGCATCAGTACAAGAAGGTAAAACTGTTAAGAATCACAGATAAGCCTCAAACTGGAAAGAAGCCCTCCAAATCTCTTCTTAGTGGATCTTTTTCTTCTTCTGTCCATAGCGCCGTCTGCGCTGTTTATAAAGGTGACGGAAATTTATGTATAACCCTGAAAGAAAAAAGGGGTGGTTAAGAAATGAGATTTAGCTTCTCTATATAACCAGAAGCTTTTAGCATAGGGGCACTATCTAGTTATCTGTGCTTACAGTCTCTGTGGTAAGTGCCGTCGAATCGGTTCCAACTCATAGCGACCCTGTGTATCACTTCCAAGGAATGGCTGGTGGGTTAGAACTGCCAACTTTGTGGTTAGCACTCCAGTGTTTACTATACAGCACCACACCAGGACTCTATAGCTTATTACAGCTGCTCAGAAAGTACAATGCTGAACAAATGATTAACCATGAACTATAGATAATCTTTTTTCCTCCCTGGTGGGTTTCCAATTTAATATTTTCTTGTATTTGATTAGGGAAATTTTTAAACACGCATAAAAAATGAAATGACTGTATACTGAACACCCACATAGCCACCTCTTGGCTTCTGCATTCACTTTCCCACGTATTTATTCATAATCCTATCTACCTCTGTCTCTGACCCCTTGCTCTGGGGGAGCCATGGTACCACTCAAGCAGTCACATAGAAAGGCCCTGCAGCAAGAAACTGAAACTTCCCATCAAGAGCCACGTGAGTAAGCTTAGAGGGGATCCAGCCCCAGTCCAGTCTGAAAAATCACCTGCCCCCACTAACATCTTGACTGAAATCTAATGAGAGACTGTGTCCCAGAACCACCCAGTGAGGTTTCTTCGTGACCACCAGAAATTGTGTAAGATGTTTGTTTTAAGCTGCTACATCTTGGGCATAATTTGTTACATGGCAGTAAATAACTAATAAACTATCTGCTCTTTCATCCTCAGTTGCTGAGAAACCAGGCAGTCATTCTTATTTATGGTCACTTCAGGCGTTTCGTGAAACAAATCACAAGTGGTTATGAATCGGGCTGCGAACCTCAAGGTCAGCAGTTCGAAACTACCAGCTATTCTGCGGGAGAAAGATGAGGCTTTCTGCTCCCGTAAAGATTTACAGCCTCAGAAACCCTGTACAGGGTCGCTATGAGTATGAACCAACTCCATGGCACATAACAACAACATATATATACATACATATATATATATGGTACATTAAAATATGTTAGCTCTTTAGCTAAAGCAAATAGTCCTTACAGTCAGGAAGGCGTTTCAATCTCTCATATTTGTGATAATTCAGTTCTTATGAAATTAGGCAAGAAAAAGTATCATTTAATATAAAAGCAAATGAATAAATAAGCAAACAAGTTTTACATGAGAAGCAGCAGGCTTTCCCATTGTTAAAAAGAGGTCTCTACAACACTTTTTGGTTACTGAGAGGCCTTGACTGGCTTCTTCCTTGCTGTCAGCAGAATGAGGGAGTTTCCAAAACTCATGAGAAATTTTTATGACCGTCTCATTTCATTTTTCCACAAATGTTTTTGAAGGCCCCTGGTATGACCACCTCCAAGGAGCTCTGGTAGCATAGTGGTTACGAATTGGGCTGCGAACCACAAGGTCAGCAGTTTGAAACTACTAGCTGCTCCGCGGGAGAAAGATGAGGCTTTCTGCTCCTGTAAAGATTTACAGCCTCGGAAACCCTGTACAGGGTCACTATGGGTCGGAACTGACTCCACGGCACTTTACAACAACAACAACATAAGCTTTGGATGAGGAACATGCTAGTGAAACTAGTAGAAGTCAAATGTATTTCTTAAGTTTTAAAAGACTTTCTTAAATTGTTTTAAGCAAGAAACATCTTATGTTGTATTCCCAATGACCAAGAACAACCATTTCAAGGAAGTAATTCAACCACTAGAGATTTGGGAGGAAATACTTCCAAATACAGCATATTCACACTGTGGATCTCATTTTGCAAAATAATCAGGAGCTCTGGTAGCGTAGTGGTTACGAATCGGGCTGCGAACCTTAAGGTCAGCGGTTCGAAACTACCAGCTGCTCCGCGGGAGAAAGATGAGGCTTTCTACTCCCGTAAAGATTTACACCCTCGGAAACCCTGTACAGGGTTGCTACGGGTCGGAACCGACTCGACGGCACTTAACAACAACAACAACAACACCATATAAAGACTTTCCAAGCTCTGGGTCATTTAAGTCTATCCTCTGAGAAGTGCTGGGGGGAAGTCTGTATGGCAGAGCCAATACTTACCTAAGAATAATACGATTAGGTAAATCTGAAGGAAAAAGGAAAATCGAACTTTGACTTTCATTGGATACGGCAACGTGAAACTGAATCTTCCTGTTTCGTTGAACACTGGAATGGACTGGATCACGGAGATAGCTGGGAGCAGACACAAGAACTTGTTAGAAGAAAACAAAACACAAAGGGCCTTCAAAAAGTTCATGGAAAAATGAAATTAAAAAGTAATGGGTTTTTCCACGAGCTTTTTGAACCTCCCCTGTTACAGTCCCATTAAATGTTAGAACTTTCCAATCCAATCCCCACCCGTTAAAAGTTTCAGTTCTGGGTATTTTGAAATGCTTCATTGTCCCTTCTTAATTTTTCTAAGAAGCCTCCAAGTTGTCAACAAAATGTGGTGAATAAGGGCCAGGGGATCACATAGGGCTTCAGCTTCCTGATGCACAAAATGGAAAGAATCATCCCTATCTGACTCACTCACCAGGTGTTATCAGAATGAATCTGGTTCCCACATAAATGGGAAGCCTGCAGTACATGACTGCCTAGCTCCCAAAACAGAAAACTAGCTACTTCCCCGGATACCAGGAGCATTATGGAAAGAAGTCATCGAAAAGAATTCTGGAAAGTCCAGCACCCCATTTAGAGATGGAGGCGAACACTGGAGAATGACTGGAAGCTTAAGACTTCCTGAAAGTACCTTCTGCCAAACATCCTAGAGGATATAAGGGAATCCACACAGAATAGCGCAGCCATGTGAGTACCTTCCAATCCATGTCAATGCAAGTAAGCATGTAGAAGGGGTACCTATTGAAAATTAGGAATTCAGGTGTTAAAACACTGCAGGCTCTGAATGCAACCCTAGAAAACCAATCAAGTAGAAGAATCATCTCTCAATCAGACACATACATGATTTATTCAGAAGAGAATTATAATCCTGGGGTTTGTTGTTATTGTTGTTCGGTGCCATCGAGTCGGTACCAACTCATAACGACACTATGCACAACAGAAAGAAACACTATCCAATCCTGGGCAACCTCACAAATGTTGCCATGCTTGAGCCCACTGATGCTGCCACTTGGCCAATCCATCTCACTGGATGTCTTCCTCTTTTTCTCTGACCCTCCACCTTAGCAAACATGATATCCTTCTCCAGCAACTGGTCCCTCTTGACAATATGTCCGAAGTATAAGAGACGAAATTTGGCCACCCTGGCCTCCACGGAGCACTCTAGCTGCACTTCCAACACAAATTCCCATCATGCTCTGCCCCAAAACTGTCAAAGGATGTGAAGTCTTTTTAATTTCAACCTAAGTTTAGGTCTCAAAGGAACCCTCTTTGGAATAGGTCAATATATGAACTAAGTACTTAGAATGCTCTGGTTTTATTCCTAATCCTGATCTATTTTCCAGGTTGGTAGGGCTGTCAGACCTGGATAAATGAATTGTTATAGAAATTAAAGTTTATAAATTAACTGCAATCTAGAAATCGGACATATTTCACTTAAAAAGAGACACCATAAGGGAAGAAATGCTTCTTTCCAGACAGTGAGAATAAACATTAAGGCCCTATAATCTGGTTCATCTTTGTATTAAAGTGGATCAGAGGGTTTATTGGTTGCTATGGAATATACATTCTATTAAGACATGCTCTCAGGCTGCTTCTTGCTAAAGTGGAGATAGCAAAAAAGAGGAAGCTCTCCCAATGAGATTGATTGGCACAGTGGCAGCAACAATGGGCTCAAGCACGTCAACGATCATGAGATTGATGCAGGACAGAGCAGACTGTGTTTCGTTCCATTGTGCTATGATTCGGTACTGACTCATCACCACCTAACAACACCGACAAAGGCTGCTTCAGCCTGCTCCCCTTCTGAACCGTTAACTTCACAAAACTACCACCAACCTGGACCCTATGGGCCAATTTGCAAAGTCTTTGCTCCCTTTAACTGAAATAGAGGGAGAAATACAGAGTACATGTGGTTTGGTAAAGAGGCACACATCTTCTTTAATTGGTACTATTTTTTAAAGTTATCTTTTTCAGTTGAGAATGGAAGAAGCATTAGGAGGCTGACTCAAACTTCAGGAATTCTGTAGGTAAAGTACAATCATCTCTTCTAGAAGGTGTGTCTTGAATCGTTCCACCCAACCTGCAATGCTCCTTCAACTCCATGTTTCTTAGGCCTTACAACAATTTTTCCATGGGGATGGGTCGTTTCTTTCCAACAAGACAGGAAGATCCTGAAGGGTCAGATGGGCCTTTCCTTTCATTTCGGATTCTCTCTCCTTCTGCTCCTTAGTGACTAAGAAGGCACTAGGATCCTTTTTTTTTTTTTTTTTTTTTAATTTTTTAAAATCTGCCTCAACTTTGCAGAGCATGTAGATACAGACAGAATTTTCCTCACATTTACTCTTATTCCCAAACGAGACTCTCGTTTAAGAACAGCAATTCCCATAAATGGAGAGCTAGTCCAGAGAGGGAGAGGCATTCAAATACTATCCTGGCATTTTTACCCACCTGAAAATTTCTATTGTGCTCCACAGGTAAAACACAAAGAAAACAACAGCTCTGTTTTGCATTTCTTCCACGGTGCCAAAGATGATAAACAAAATGAAGTTTCTTCCAAGAAGCTATTGAAAGAACCCAAAAGGAAAAAAAACGTTTTAAAAATGTATACAAAACCCCTATTAATGTGTTGTCTGAAACCTACTAAGCCCACTAAATTCAATGGACAAGACTGAGTACAACTAGTTTGATTTAATCTTCCGTTCTAGTTTTGGAACAAGTGAAAGTAACCAAACCAGTCTTTCAACATAGCTAGGTAACTTTGGGTGTGTGTTTAAGGGTGTAAAGAAATCATCGTAAATAATCTATTTTTTAAAGTATACATTCAATTCAGGCTCTGAATGCAACCCTAGAAAACCAATCAAGTAGAAGAAACATTTCTCAATCAAACACATACATGATTACTCAGAACAGAGTTATAATCCTGGGGTATTATCCACAAATTCCCATCATGCTACTACCCAAACTGTCAAAGGAGGTGAACACTTTTTAATGTCAGCCTAAGTTTAAATGTCAAACATGTACATTTTAGAACACTGCCAAATGAACCATCGTTACCCTAACCCACAGTTTAAGAACTTGAGCAATACCAGTGTGGCACTCCCAAAGTAACTACTATTCTGTGTTAATGGTCCTCTTCTTTTTCTTTATAGGTTCTATTCGGCCTGTTTTAAAACTTGTTGAGATCATACTATATGATTATTCTGTGACTTGCTTCTTATTCAACACTCAGTGTGGATTCATCCACGCAGACACATGTAGTTTACGGCTCATTCATTTGCACTGTTTTAAGATATTCTAGTATATGAACAGACATTCCACACCTGAGGGACATCTGGTTTTCTACTCTCTGTGACTGTCTCTGGGCATATCTCATTTGGTACATATAATGTCTTGATTTCTGATAGGGTAAGTCCTCCAACTTCAGTTCTTCAAAGGAATCTTTTTGGCCCTTTGCTTTTCCACACAAGCTTTAGAAGTTTCTTGTCATTCCAAAATTATAATGATTTTTAATGAAACTGTATGAAAAGAACTGGCATCATATAGTACTGAGTCTTAGAATTCAAGAAAATTCAAAGTCTGTATACTTAACCCCTTCCTCCCCACACATCTGCAATCACTCAGGCTCTTTGGGGACAACTGAGAAAGACACAAAGACGGACTCTCTAAAATCGTTTCCAAAAACAACACTGCTTTCAGAAAAAAAAAATCACCCTCATTATCTTAAAAATATATATTGCTTGATGTGTATCACGGGTCAGTGAACTACGTCTTACAGATCAAAGCTGACCTACCGCCTGTTACTGTAACTTTACTGGAACCTCATGAATCCATTACATGTTGTTTAAAGCTGCTTTCACACTACAACGGCAGAGGTGAGTTCCCACAGCAGATCATCTGAGCAGCAATGCCTATATATTTTAATATGGATAACTTCATTTAATATATCAATATGATATACTATAGTGTATAATGGAGTCCTGGTGTGGCGCTGTGCATTAATGTGCTGGACTGCAAAGTCAGTTTGATCCACAAGGTCGGTGGTTCAAGCTCACCATTTGCTCCTTGGAAACCCTATCCAGGGTTGCCATGGGTCGGAACCGACTCGACGGTACTTAACAACAACATAGTATATAATAAGCAGGTGAAGATCTAGTTCCTCTGATTTTGGACTTCCTTTATTGCTGTTGAAAGTCTATTGTAGCTTCTTTGGAAGTATTTTGTCTTTACTGTGTTAACTACATTTAAGAAGTTTTTGTCTTTTGCATTCTGCAATTTCACTCTGATGTATCCAGAGGTGGATTTCTTTTTATTTATCCTGATTCAGATTTATTGTGCTTGTTGAAGCTGTTTTGGCTATTTTTTCATCAGTTCAGGGAAATTCTGACTTTATCTTTCTTCTAATCTCTTCCTCTATCCCATCCATCCTCTCTCATCTCTTTCTAAATTCCTATTTACACAGTCAACCTTGCACTCTAGCCGCATGTCTCTTAACCTCGCTCAGATTTTCCTTCTTTCTCTGTTCATTGTGCTCATTTCTTGAGATCTGCCAATTCACTAATTGTGTCTAATCTACTGTGTTGTTAGGTGCCATCGAGTCGGTACTGACTCATAGCGACCCTGTGCAAAATAGAACAAAACACTGCCCAATCTACTATAAAAACTACCTATTACATTTTAAATTTTGATTACTATATTTCTCATTAGTAGAAGTTCTATTTGCCTCCTTCTCAGGCCTGCTTACTCTTTATAGTTTCTTGTTTCTTGCACTCTTTTCCTCCTTGAGCATGATTCTAAGCAAGCTCTCGATTGTGAACAAGATTGTAAATCTATCTTTAAGTCAAAGTTATACATAAAAGTCAGAACAGTTACGTGCAGTTTGTATCTAATGTCAGTTAGTCAGATGTCTGTTTTAGTATATAGTATACCTTATAAAAGGAGCTCTGGTAGCATAGTGCTAATCTCAAGATCAGCAGTTTGAAACTACCAGCTGTTCCGTATGAAAAAGCTGAGGATTTCTGCTCCTGTAAAGATTTAAAGCCTCAAAAGCCCTATACAGGATGGCTGAGTCGGAACCGACTCCCCGACACATAACCACCACGACCACACCTGTCTCTGCATAAAAACAATTAAAGAAACACTTCCACATATACAAAAACTTTAACATAATAATACAGCAATTATATATGGACGGCAGGATAAGCACTGGACCACAAGGTCAGTTTGAACAGCAAACTTGGTGGTTCAAACCCAGTGGCTGCTCCTTGGAAACCCTACACAGGGTTGCTATGGGTTGGAACTGACTTGACAGCACTTAACAATAACAACAACAACAACAAATAATAATGTTTTGATGTGCAACACAATGAAGTGCCTGTTTGTTGTTATAAACCATTGTACATAGCTCTAACCTTTATAGAATGGGCATTCGCTTTTACTACAGGTTGTATGTAAGTTGGACACTCATAAGTCAGACGTTAGTAACCCAGGGACTGTGTGCATCTTCTATTCTGTATCTGATCATTCTAATATCTGAAGATCTTGTGGGACTGTTTGAGCAGCCTGTTGTTTCTGCTGTCTCTTGTTTATAATGCTTTATTTCCTTGGTTTTATAATCTTTGACTGGAAGCTACTCATTTTCCTTGGGAATTCTTTGAGGCCTACGTGGTCTCTTCCGGTAAAGATCTACACTTGCCTCTGCCAAAGTCTAAGAACAACAGCTGATGAGAATCATGTTCACCAAAATGTGTAACGTGAGAATTTTTGAGCCACCCAAGTGATATGAATTCAAAACAGAAACTCACTTAGAGGCGCAGCTTATGACTACCTAGTCTTAAATGACCTTCCCCCTCCAGTATGACCAACATTTGAGGCAGAAAAATCCCTTGTAGATAGCAGGAAATGGAAGGACAAGTTTATTTCTAAGCCATCTTTAGCCGCAGCTCTGTGTTCTCAGATTTAGTGGGAAGGATCTCCTCATAGACTCTACTGCAGGCAAGCCCTGGGGCTTCCACCTCTGTACTTCCAACATTCTAAAACTGAAGTTTACATTTGCTTGGCTTTGCATATCCTCTTGGGGCACAAGTCAGTACCAGTATTCAGTTTATCTCTGGAGTTTTAGCTTTCTCTTAGGGTTTGACCTGTTCATGAACACATTTGAGATTTTTTTTCAGTATCTTACCCAGTGTTTTCAGCATGAGAGTTCACTGTTGTTGTTATTAGGTGCCATCGAGTCGGTACCAACTCATAGTGACCCTATGCACAATAAACAGAAAGAAACACTGCCTGGGCCTGGGCCAACCTCACAATTGTTGCTATGCCACCAATGTGCCAATCCAACTCATCAGGAGGTCTTCCTCTTTTTTTCCAATGCTGCACTTTACCAAACATGATTATCCTTCTCCAGTGACTGGTCCATCTTGACACTATGTCTGAAGTATGGAAGACGAAGTTTGGCCATCCTGGCCTCCAAGGAGCACTCTGGCTGCACTTCTTCCAACACAGATCTGTTGGTTCTTTTGGCAGTCCATGGTACTTTTAATACTCTTCTCCCAACACCATAACTCAAATGCATCAAATCTTCTATGGGCTTCCTTACTATAGTACTTCTTACTACTGGAATCAATTTTCTTGAAGTAGGCATGAAGGCAGATTTGTACAGAGCTGTTTTAAAACAGCAGAAGATATTTTTCATCATATTGCTTTGGCTAGCTCTTTCTCAAATGACGATGCAAAGAAGGCCAGCTTGCTCATTCACGTTCAGCCTCGTTTCTGTGCTCCTGCTCTATACTGTTTACTGTTTATTCTTACTTGGTACCAAGAAGGGAAAACACACTAGCTATTCCCACCCTTGCAGGTAGAGACTACTTCTTATTCTTCTGTGCATATAATAGTAAACCCTCAATCTATGTTAAATGTTAAAATTCAGCTACTATTTCTAATCCAAATAAACTCTGCTCAGGTCACAGGCATTGCCCATCTTTGAGGGCACTCTCTGTTGTTGTTAAGTCAGTTCCGACTCCTAATGACCCTGTATCGGGGTCCCTAGGGTAGTTGGGTTTGAACCGCCAACTTTGAGGTTACCAGTCCAGTGCTAATCCTACAGCATCAAACCACGACTCCAAATGGCAGTCCCTAGAGCCGTGCAATAGGATGATAGTGACCCGGTCCTTTCCAACTTGGCCTAAAAATTCTACTTTAATGCTTACTTGTCATTGATATGCAAGAAATTTTATTTTATGGGTCATCTACTGGCCTCTTTTTTTTAAACTAAGCAAAACAGCTTCCTTCAGAGGGCAGACAGCATAGAAATAACAAGATGATTGTACTAACATCTTTATATTGCAATTGTTAGAATTCCAGAGCTGGTATACCAAAACCAGACAGAAGTATAAAAACAGTATTCCTTCCAGAAGAGAGTGACCAGGAATCACCTGGTTTCCCGTGAGTTTGTGTAGGTGGTAGTGAATGGCATGCAGTCAAGTACCTAGGAAACCGGGCAGGGAGGCTGGCTTTCATGCTCTGTTCCTGGTAACAATTTTCCAGATTAGGAAATAACATAGATAAATTGGAAAGAGCCATCTTCATATTTGGAAAGAAGGTCCCAAGTGAAAATAGTTCCTAGTGAAAATAACTGCCTTCATCGACCCAGGGTGGCAGGAGACCCAGTACAGTTTTTGCCTGAGGTGACTGAGGGCAGGCTATTCTGATTCTACTGGAGAGTCCAGTTTCTCTAGTTTTAAAGCTCAGGTGAAAACCTTGTGATTTCATGAGTATGCTATAAACAATGAAACTACACGAATGGAAAAGCTGAAATGGCAAGAATCTATTTTGGAAAATATCCCTGAAGGTTTAAAGCTCTCCACCTTGGTGAGAAAAAGATCAGTGCGCGTAGATATAGATAATCCTTACTAATGGAAGAGGAAAGCTAGAGCCTTCCACTCCCCAGCTACTCAGTACCTGCAGAAGAGAAGGCATCACTGGTGACTTTGTGACTCCGATTGCTGCATTGATAGTCTCCACAGCTGCCAGCATCTGGCAGAAATACATCATGTCAGCCACGGTGTGAAATGTATCATAGAAGGACTCTACGGGCACAAATATACATTTGGGGTAAATTGATTGACAAATCCCAACAGAATTTATTTCTCACACCAGAAAACTCCTTATATAACAAGAACTTTAGAAAAAGTAAGTAGAAGTCACGATTCAATTTTATTACCCAACTCCTGGTCTGGTGCTGTAGGATAAGCACCGGACTGCGAACCACAAAGTCAGCAGTTCAAACCTACCAGCTGCACCTTGGAAATCCCATACACACTGCATTTTTTCCTTTCTTCTTTGTTTAAAAATATTTATTATGTTGTTGAGAATGCACAGAAAAATATACACCCATTAAACCGTTTCTGTGTGGACAATTCAGGGACATGGACTGCTGTCTTGGGACTGTGCAGCAGCTCACCCCTTTTCCTTGCTGTTCCTCCCCCACTGACACAAACTCACTGCCCCTAAGGTTCCTGTCTAATCTTTCTAGTTGCCGTTGTCAATTTGATCCCATAGGGACAGCCTTCACTGCAATTACATCTTTAGACTTAATGATTCTGACTCTAGGAATCAATCCTAAAGTAGAAAACAGAATTTAAAAGTTTAAGTAAACGATGGTATGTCTAACTGAATGGAATACCACATAATAACTTCAAACGACAGTTATGGCTTACTGGGATCAGCACATATGGTATCTCCTTAGTTATCTTCACTTGACATCCTGCCTCTTATATTCTTCTTTGCTGAGCTTCTCAACTAGGACACCACTGATACTTTGTTGATGTTGTTGTTAGATGTCATTCAAGTCAGTTCCGACTCATAGAAACCCTCTGCACAACAGAACAAAACACTGCCCGGTCCCGCCCTTAGCCATCCTCACAGTGACATTGTTAAGTTTCAGCCCATTGCTGCCACCACTGCTGTCTATCTCACCAGGGTCTTCCTCTTTGTCTCTGATCTTCCACTTTACCAAGCATGATATCCTTCTCTAGGGACAGATCCCTCCTGATAAAATGTCCTTGTCTTGCATATTACAGAAAGTTTAGGATCCATGGTTCTTTGCCTGCAAATAGGGCCTCCAAATAATTGAGGGGAAATAAAAAACGAACCCTCAAATTGAGCATGTCCAAATGTCCCCAGAGGGCAGAAGTGCCCTGTCTAAAAACTACTGGTAAAGGAAACCATTATCCACCTACTTGTAATGTAACTTCTCAATTAGAGGTGCCATCAAGAAGCAAAAACTAAAGCTGAAAAATGATCACCAATGAACGACAACTTATAGAAACTAGTTTCCGTTTAATTCTTTCTCCCACTTAACAATGGGCCTATTTATCATGTCCAGCTTTCTCTATTTTCTAAACTTTCTTAAATCAGCACACTAACTTGCATGATTTATTTTAAAAAGTTTTTTTTTAATATTAGAAGGTATACCATATATAATAAGCTCATATATAATAAATATAGGTTTACATAATGGGAGAGGACTATTTCATATAGTTTTTCTGGAGAGAAATTTGGTAGTATACATCAAAATCCCCATTTCACTTCAGAATTTTTCCCAAGGACATTACTGCTGTTTTTGTTAAGTGCTGTCAAGTCATTTCTGACTCATAGTTACCCTGTACAGGGTTTCCGAGAAGCAGCCGATGAGCTTGAACTGCCTACCTTTCAGTCCAAACTGATCATGCAGTGCAAAGAGCCACACCAGGACTCCTGAGGACATTATTAAGGATATGAATAATAATTTAGCTATAAGGATGATCAGTGGAACACTGTTCATAATAGCAAAAGGTTCAAAACCTTAAACCAGTCCAGTAATGGCTGGTTAAGTTAGTATATGTCAATACACAAAACAGACATTTGAAGTGACGTGACAGAAGAATCTTCAATGACATGTAAAGATGTTCATGAGGTTCTATTTGTTGAAAAACAAAGGATACATGATAGTATTTATGTGCCTAAGTTTTGTTTTGTTTTGTTTTCAATAGTTGGGTTTAGAAAGATACATACCAAAACACCAAGAATCTACTGCTATCATGGATGAGATTAGGGTAAGTTTTCTTGTTTTTGTCTATCTTTATTCTTCTGTAATTAACACTTACTAGTTTTATAATTTGGAGTCCTGGTGTGGTGCCACAGGATAAGCATTCAATCTCAAGGTCAGTTTGAACTGCAAGGTCGGTGGTTCAAACTCACCAGTCGCTCCTTGGAAACCCTAGACAGGGTCACTATGAGTCGGAACTCACTTAACAGCACTAACAACATTTTTATAGTTAGAAAAAATTTTTTTATTTTTAAATAAAAATGTGTTTTTTAATAGAGAGCTGGACAAGTTCTAGAGTTTCTAGTCAAGCCAAAAGTTTTCTGCTGTTTTCCCCTTTGCACAAAAAGTCTGACAAGTAGTTTATATCGTAAGACAAATACTTGTTTGCCAATCATCAACTTCCTTAATTCAAGAGGAGACTATTACAAAGAACAAACTAAGACGCCAAGTACCAGGTCCCAAGTTCTTATCACATCTTTGACAGCTGATAAGGGAAGGACACAGCCAAAAGAGAAACTGCAAGTCACAACAGCTTTCTTTACAGATAGGAACGACTCAGCTAACTCAGCAGCATTCAGACTGATCACCTTAACAACCAGCAGGCTTTAGTGGAATACTCATCATCAGTCCAACCACGTTAGATTAAAGAAAGCATTTATGTATTTGAATGTCACTACAAAGGGGCTTAAAGAAAGTCATGGGAGAAATGGAATTAAAAAAGCAATGGTAAAAAAAAAACGGAAACTGCCTTGTATTTTCACTCCAGGAATCCCAGAATGCATGAGTGGCTCAGCTCAGCAAAGGCAACAGTCAGCTTCCATAAAGATGTCCAGTCCTCGAAAATCTATGAGACCCGAGATTTCAGACCTCAGCCACCCTTCATGGCTGGAACTGAACTCACCCCTGCCGCTCAATCTTCAGCCAAGCAATAGGCAGGCCTAAACATGAACGATAACCTTAGAACAACTGGCCATATGAAATCAAAAAAGAGCAGCTTTTGCTCAAGGATAAAGTTCAGAAGGCAGGAAGATGATAGAAAAGAAGGACAAATGGAAATGTGAGACACAAAGAGGAAATGAGAAGAGTACTGTTAATATGGTGGGATTACAGTTTGTGTCACAGAACAGAATGTGTTTGAACTGTTGAATGGAAAATCCATTTGCTCTGTAAACTTTCATTGAAGTCACAATCAAAAGTTAAACACAACAAAACTGTAGGAAATAATTCTACTCTGTCTTAAAGGGTTACTCAATAGCACTAAGTGTTTGTTTTTCAAATTTTCAATCCATGGGACTGTGATATCTATTCCCATTGATTCCAATGCACAGCAACCTCACAGGATAAACAGACCATGTGAATATGGTGGATGTCCTTCAGATCTTTTTTTCCATGTGCTGATTCAGTCCTTTCCCCTCCCATTTTATATGAGTGTGGTCAAACTGTTAGGTTTTTTAAAAAAGTAATATATAAATTTGTTCTATCGTAAGTATTTTCCTATGATATTACAGCACTTAACAACACCACCAACATGTTATTACAAACACTTTACATACTTGATATTTGCTCCAGAACATCCCACAGAGTGAATGTATCAAACTAATCTCTACCTGACGGACATTTAGGTAGTTTCTAATTTGACTTTCAATCCTTTGGGGGAACTTATTTTTGTATGCATTGTGAGATATTTTTGTTACTTGCCAGGGAGTTGGTTCTGACTCATAGCAAACCCATATAGGGTTTCCAAGGCTGTAAATCTTTCAGGAGCAGAAAGTGTTATCCTTGGAGCGGCTCTAACCCCCAACCTTGTGCTAAACACATTCCATATCTCCCTCATACTTCCAAAATCAATTTTCTTTGGAAACATTAAATTTCCCATCTAATAAAAATAATTGACTAAAAAGTTCTTTTCTACTAATTCATGAGTCCTCTTTCATTCTATATGTGACTCACAGAGAAATACAACTCTTTCCGTACCACCTAATCTGTTCTGTTGATCAGTCATTTTTATGCTAATGCCAGATTATCTAAATTGCCACCATCTCACACCAGGAAGAAAAACTCCTTTCCCAGTACTCTTTTTCCCTCAAAATTTTACTAATTATTTATTCAAATTATCAAAAAAATTTTCATTGGCATTTTATTTGGACAAAATTCCACTGAACATATAAATTAGGAAGAATTAATAGCTTTATGACACTCTTTTCATTTTTTTCTAAACTAATCCACTTTAAAATCCATCTAAAGAAATACCAAAACGGCTTCAGAAAGAGAATCAAAAGTGAGACCCCAGTCCTTGCGTAACTTTGACACCAGAAGTATCATAATCACTCAACCAAGCGTTAACTGAACACCCACAACGTGCAGGATACTACCATATCAACTCATATACTTATTAATGAACTATCAGGCAGTGACTAGAGAAAGAGATGCTAGTGCGTGATGGGCCTCTTTCAGATGAGTCTTCATGTGCGGACTTGGGACATTTCTTCGTCCAGGTCTAACACCTGTTTGCTCCCCTGTGATGTGGAAAGGAGACCCATTCTGCTTATTTATCAAGGTCATGGGAGGTGAGAGGTGAAAGCACAATGAAAAGTATAAAGTAGGAGTTATTAACACCAGTGGCCAAGGGTGGTACCTTTGGTGGGCAGTGGACCAAATACTGAAAGAAAGCAAGCTAGCCTTTTATGTCTTACTTGCCTTTTCCTAAGATAAAGAATCGCACAGTCAGGTTGACAAAGATCCAGGAAAATCCCAAGAACTGCACAAGGTTATACATGAACAGGTATCCTTTCTTCATGCTTGCAAGAGCTGAAAAGCAAAGTAAGGCAGTATGCCGTTAACAGCCATAGTCATAGCAAGGGAGGGATGTGTGGGACTTACCTAGATGGCTTCATCCCTCTTTCCTAGTCAGGTGTCCTAAGCGCCCACACAAATACCTGACCCAGGTCCTCAGCAGCTTAAGGTCCTGGTGCCATAGAGATACAGATTTGGGACAATCATAAGGAGCATTGCTCTGTGAAGTTTTTTTTTAAAGGTGTTTCCCTTCATACCTTTGAGGGATACGAATACATCCACCACAAATCCCAGAGGAAAAAATGATGATGACCATCTTAATAGGACTACAGAAGGAAAATAAAGCTATCCTTAACCCTTACTCTATGTGTGCTAATATAATCTACAGTCAACAGCTTCTTCTCTGGAATTTTTTAAGGTCATGCAGGTCAAACCAGTTCAAAAAATTAGCAACAGTAGTGGAAAAAATTATGGTATATTCATTCAACCAACCATTCAATGAACGCCCACAGTGAAGGATGACACTTAGCTACAGCATGAGGGGCACTATTGGAAGGCAAAGATGGCAAAGATGATGCCACCCTCAAGGAGTTTACTAGCTAAAAACCGTAATACAAGATGAAGAGTTATAGGTAATACGCTTTCAAAATTTCAAAGGGAAAAACTGGTTATCAGTCTGGAGAAGAAACAATCAGGCAAGCCTGCTTTGATATACAGGCAGGATAAAGATATAACCAAAAGGAGGGCAATTTCAAACTGAGAGGCAGGAAAATAAGGGACTCCAGTTTTGTTTGCAGCTTAAGGTTTATGAAGCCGCAGCCAAAGGAAGAGTTAAGAGGGAGGAGCCAATCAAAGGAAAGGATAAAGAGTTTAGACAGAGTCATGGTTGAGTCAAAAGGAGTGAGGTAAAGGAAAGGACAGTTTTCAAGAGAAGAGCTATGAAGCTCAGATTTTGCTGCTACATGTTTATTCCTAAGCTACAGATATCCTGCATAAATACTTGACAGGTATTTTTAAAAACCACATTTAATAGTACTGTCAATCAAAAGTAGCCTTATTCCAAGGGATCGGAAAAATTAACATTTTACTAGCTCAAATTTGTCCCTTCAAAACTACAAAAATGTAATATCCAAGTACTTTCTCATCATAAAGACCATCTTTCATCAAGAAACTCTATGAATTTAGGTTAAGCAGTTAATAGTTTTATCTAACATCCTAAAACCCCACTTATGAGAGTTTTTACATATTTCTAAAGTTTATCCCTTTAAAACACCGAAAGATTAATTTAAATCTCAAGGTGGCCTTTTTGTTGTCGTAATTCTTTGTCTTCACTAATCCTCTCCCCTCCTCCGCTAGATGAAAGAATAGTTCTCTGGATTAACGGCCAGTCAAATCTTTTTTAAAAGCAATGAAAACCCTTTCAACACAAATCTTATTCACAACCGGAATACATAAAACACAAAGGCAGAGCTGCTATGGTTAAAATGGGCCTGCTTGCTTGACCTAGCCCCCCCAAGCATCTCTGGGAACCCTAGGGCACCATGGAAACCAGTCCTCTTCCTTATGTATGGCACGCCAAACAAGTGCCACTAAAACTTGAAAAAGTTCAATTTAGGGCAAATTCTGCTTTCAGAGTTGGCTTTATATAGACCTGCATGGTCCTCCCATGAGCAGGGAAGCTCTTGGAGCACAAGTGCTATGTAAATTCACCAGACTCCACAACTCCAGGGTCTACTACACTGCTTTTCACAGAGCACAACTATGATAGACAGCTGCTGAATCCAACCTCTTACCCACAAGACACTACACTTGGCTTATAAGTGGGTTGAACAGACAGAAACAGAAATCGATTTTTATAAAGTTACTGTGGAGTAGCAGGGCATCTTTATGGTTGACAACCACACCTTTTTCTATGGCGCCATTCTGGAGATCTCAACTGGGGCTGCTAACTGTAAGGTCGGCGTGCTGTTCAAACCCACAAGCCGCTCCTTGAACGAAAACTGAAACAGTTTCCCCCGTAAATGTTTGCAACCTCAGACACCCTATATAGGTTCACCAGGAGTTGGAATTCATTCCGTGGCAGTGGGTTTGGTTTGGGTTTGAGTGCATATCTTGAGCACCGGACATGATGGATTTCTCCTAGCCTCACCTGAAGAGCTGACTGGATGAAATCATTAGCTCTCCGGCCATATCACACACATCCATGCCCAACCTCGATCACAAGTTAACTAGTAACTAATGTAGCAGCAGTGACAACTTACTTTCAGGGGAGCCTTCACTTTCCATTCTGAGTTTATTTAGGCGTTCTTCTTCCTAGAATTTGGACAGAAGTTTTCCCAAGAACACAAGTTAGAAATCCCAGAAGCTTGCAAAGTTTCCCGTGCTGGGTATGTGACGCACCACCTCAGTCAGATCAAGGTTAGTATCAACAGTGATAAGGCGTGCTGACTGCATGCACTCTCAGAGCTACCTCCCATGACTGTGGTCAATGCTTCTGAATAGGGTCTCGATAAATTGGGATCAACTTGATGGCAGTGGATTATTGGGTTATAATCCAAAGTATAAAAGAAATATCTACGATTCTATACAGATATAAATAAATAATTTAATTAATTAATTAATTAATGAGAGAAGAGACGAATCTCTCATTACAGAAGAACTCCCAACAAATTATGTACGTATTCTACCCTAAGAGGCAGGGGGTATAACTGTGAGTTATGCATAGGTGACTTCCTTACATAAAGCAGAGTAAGGAAAGGTAAGAGGGGAGCAAGAACCACTTTATAAAATCTGAAATCTGACAATCACTACCTCAGCCTGGTGATCAAGATTAATATCTACAGTGATAAGTCATATTGATAACCTGTACCCTTAACTGGATGGCATTTTATCTCTGGGATCTTCCATCCAAAAACCCAACACCACCCCAGTCTAATCATGAGGAAAACATGAGACAAACCCCAATTGAGGGGCAGGCTACAAAAGACCTGACCAGTACTTCTCTAAAATCCTATCTCTAGGTCTTTACATAATCTGTGTCTTTGTCCCTAGCCTACCAGGTCTTAAGAGACATCTAAAGTGGCCAAAATAACTTGGAGTTCTTACTAACCTTGGCTCTGAGCTCCATTTCTGCATCAGATTCATCCAGCCAGCGATCGAAGTCAGGGGCCAAAAACAGTGGACGCTTCTCCTGCTTGGTGAGTCTCTCCCACCACTGACTCACCTTCTTCTGTACCCTTATATTTACCTGCCTCTCGGTCAGTTTGTACACAGGCTAGGAGAAAAAGTGATAATGTGAGAATGCTCTCCCCTACTCCCCACTCTTTTCCCTGAAGTGTCCCCAAGCCAACGTAGCTACACAGAGAAGCTATCTGGTATGCTGAGGCCTTCTCCGAAGTTCTGATGCAAAAAGAACATGAAGACCAGGGGCCAGTAGAGGGAAGAATTGGTAAGAATAGCAGTCTTTCTCTGATTTTCCCCAAAGAATTACAAAGAGGAAGAAGGCAGACAATTCCTGGTTAGCACAGAGGGAGGAGCTATCACAAATCTCTGGCCAGGTCTATATCACGCAAACACTCCATCCTATCACCCTCTCAAGTACACCCTCAGCTTTAAAATGTTCCTCCCAAGAAAATGACTGAAGTCAGTGATCGATGGTCCCTGGCAAAAGTGAATTTGTCTTTTAGAATGGCCAGAGCTGTAGTGTATCAATGATCACCTGTCCTCAATGGTGAGCCTAGGGAGTCGTCCCAACAATCCTCAGATTCTGAGAGGCTGCTCCAGGTAACACCAGCTCATTACTCCTGACATGGTGTCTTCCTTTTGCTTCCAAAGCAAGTTCCATGGCAGGTCCTCTACCTCTCATGCCACAGATGACTATTAATGCTTTCTCCAAACAACTGAGACCCCTGCAGTGAAAGATCACTCAGCTCCAACTCCCAGAACTAGGGGTGGAATTTTAGATACTGAAGTATACCCTCTTTTAGATTCTCTCTCTTCTTGTTAGAGACACTCCCTTGGGTGAGGAAAAACAAACCTCAAATCATGCTCCCAGCAGACTTTCTAAAAACCAGCTACTTCAGCCCTTCATGATTTGCATTTTTCTCTTTAGCCCTGAGGCAAAGGCACCTAAAAGTAGCCCCCATGGTGCACTGAAGTTACCTTCATTGTGGTGGAATGATGTGGGAAAAAATAGAGAGAGAGGTTACACAACTTGAACAGTGTAATCCCTGTTACTACATTGTACAGGTAGATGTAGAAATTGTTGAGATGGAATGTTTTGTTACGCATATTTGTACCACAATAATTTTTTTTTTAAAGTAACCCCTTCGCATGGGGTTTCACATACCTACTAAATTTAACTCTACTCTTTACTGATGCTATCCCTCCTCAGCCATCACGGAAAACCAGAGACTAGCAGAGCTGAAAAGGACCTCTGAGGTCATGCAATCCAGCCTTTCATTTCACACTCGAGAAACCTGGAACTCAAAGTGAGCAGACATTTTCAGGTTCGCACCACCAGTAAATGATAGAATGCATATTCAACTCTGGTTCCTACTTTTCCCTTTCAATACCTAAAACCTGGGCTCTGTTCCAAATAAAGCGGCTACAGAGTTCCTGAGAGGTTTGGTTTTCGTTTTTTTTTTTTTTTTGAGATTTTATTATTTTGTTGATAATATACGCAGCAAAACATGCATGCACCAATTCATCACTTTCTATACGTCCATTTAGGGACATTGAGTACAGTCTTCCAGTTGTGCAGCCATTGTTCCTCCTTCACTGACATAAATTCAATGCCCCCTAATGTTCTTATCCAATCTCTCCAGTTGTTATTGTAAATTTGATCCTATACAAATAGTTCTTTAAAGGGTTTAATGTTCAATGCAGACATTTTTTCACTAGTTAAACTATTGCTTGGTTTTAAGATGTTTTGGGGTAAAGGTTTAAAGATTATCTCAAGGCAATCGTTTCAGTGGTTCATCCATCCTCCATGGTTTCAACGTTCACGAGAACTTGAAACTATCTTCTGCATTACCCCCCTAATGATCAGGATTCATCTATAGCACCTTTGACCCAAATGTTCAGAAGTGGTAGTCAGGCAAAGGTGGCAGATGTTCACAGAGGCAATTAGCCACACATTCCATAGTCTCCTCCTATTCCTGACTCTCTGTCTTTCTCTGTTGCACCAGGTGAGTAGATTGCAATTGCTGAACTCTGAATAGCCACTTGCAAGATCTTAAGACCCCAGATACTACGTAGAACAGAAGCTCCAAACAGAATACTAGGCCAATTAACTGGTTTATGCCATGAAACCATGACCCTGAGCCTGTAAACTCAAAAGCAAATCCCATGACGTTGTACATAAGCAGCCTCAGCAGTTATTCCATTTTCTTTGTAATTATTATAAATATATCACACAACTTTTGCCAACTGAATTTTTTACAAGTGCTACGGGGAAAAGCACTGAACCACAAGATTGGTTCGAACCATAAGGTCAGGGTTCAAACTCACCAGCCCCTCCTTGGAAACCCTATACAACTATGTATACAACCCTATACACTATTAATCAGAAGCGATTCAACAGCACTCAACAACAACAACAATTTATTGGTAGCAATTTCAATAATTGGCTGTGCAACCCAACCCTTTAATCAACTCTATTTTTACCTCCCTTTTCCTTCTTCCTCCTGCACTTGGTAACCATGAATAAACTTTGGTCTCCATACATTTGCCTCTTCTTGTCTTTTTTATATAAGAGATGTCATGCAATATTTGACCTTTTATGATTGACTTATTTTGCTCAACAAAACGTCTTCAAGCTCCATCCATACTGTAGCATGTAAATGATTTCATTTCTCTTACTAGCTTAGTATTATTCAATTTTTATATTTTATCCATTCATCTGTTGATGGGCATGTAGGTTGTTTCCACCTTTTGGTGGTGATTCGTGCTGCAGTGAACACTGGTATACAAGTGTCCTCCTGAGCCTCTGTTTTCAAATCTTTGGTGTATATACCTGGGTGTGGAATTGCAGGGTCCTGTAGTGTTCTGGGTTTAGGTTTTTGAGGAACTGCCACCGTTTTCCTCAGTGGCTGTGCCATTTTGCATTCTCACCAGCAATGGATAAGGGTTCCAGTTCCCACATCTTCACCAACATTTGTTATTGTGGGGGTTTGGTTTGGTTTTTATCTTACCTATCCTAGTGGGAGTGTAATGATATCTCATGTGGTTCTGATATCCATCTCTCTGGTGGCTAATGATGTGGAGCATCTTTTTATGGGTTTGGGGGCCTTGGTTGTTTATCTTCTTCTTTCCCACAACCCCTTCTCCCCACTTCACCAAACTATTAGTACTTATTCTCTAAAATGGAAAATGAAATGAGTAAGGAAAGAACATACCTCTGGCTTCACGGGGTCCAGGAACTCCAGGTGAAATTCATAGATATTGTCCCCTTTGGCACCGTGTCCTTGAGCTATAAAGGAGAAAGGGACATTACTATGGACTTGAGAGGAGCAGGCCCATCCAAAAGGCAGCTTGGGGCAGTTTTTCAGAAGTATACAAATATTAATTTAGGGTCCTCCTAAAATGAGTGGGTTCTTGTGGACACAGCTCCTCAACAACCAGAGAAGCAGAATTGTGTACAAAGTCTCCTTCCATATGTCCTTCTGATCAGTTCCAGAGTATTTACTTAATCTTCAAATGTGACCGTGATCATACCCAGTACAAATACTAGGCAAGGCAAGAGGAAGACTACATGGCAATGCTGGACTGTCTCCAAGAGAGCTCTGAATCAAAATCCTCCCAACCAAGGCCAGAGAATGAAGGGGAGAAGCTGATTTCAGCCCTTCATGATTTTCCACTCCAAATGGGACAAGGAGAAGCAAAGTCTTTCTCAGCTCCTTCCTGAAAGAGGATAACTGGAACTGGGAAGAAAGTCTCTTGGTTGGCCATTGCTCCATGCCTTAACGTGACTCCTTTCCCCAAATCAAGGGGGACTCATAGCTAGGAGCCAGTGACTGCTAAAAAAAAGCCAGCAGTGCTGCTGGACTTCTTCCCTCAACACTGCAACTCGCCTACTGTCTTGATGCTCTCCTGGGATTCTCTTCCCTCATCTGGTCGTATGTGGTGGTGGTGGTGGTGCTGTTAAGTGCCAACTAGTCGGTTCTGACTCATACCACCCCTATATCAGGTTTCTAAGGAGCGGCTGGTGCATTTGAACTGCCGACCTTGAGGTTAACAGTCCAGTGCCTATCATATAGTGCCAGACTAGGGCTCTGTATGTGGTAGAGCCTGCTTAATATTTGCTGGAGGAGGCTACCATTCTGTTAGGTTTCAATTCCTTAAGATAGAACATTCTCCAAGTGGCAAGGTACTCTTTCATTACTTTAACTTCCCTTTCAATGGATTTAGCCAATAAAAATACCTGAGCTGCTACCACCACTACACTCCAACTTGAAAAGTAGATCTAAAAACCAGGCTGGTTTTTCATGTAACTATATTAGGAGATGAACCTAATGTACAGCAGAAATTCTTCAATCTCCCATGACCCTCTTCTCTTAAATAACGATATTCCTAGGTAGAAGTAGAGTATGTCTTCTGGACTCCAAGATTTCTGTGAATTGAAATGCCACAACCCAGGGACAGAAAGCTGTGACACTGAAGGAAAAGCAGAGGAGCAGCAGCGACAGAACTAAGAGCCAAAGCCTGAGATTTCCTGGCCTACAGAACAAGTAAAGCTGAGTGACGTTGGGCAGGAGGCTCATTTGTGGAACAAGTAAAGCTGAGTGACTTTGGGCAGGAGGCTCATTTGTGGAGAAGGGTGCCTCTAGCCACTTAGCTGGGAGTTAGGCTTCCTGAGGCACAGAGCTAGAGCTGAATGCCTTTGAACTGAGGCATATAGGAGGAGTGCTGTGTCCTGTGGGTAAATATATTAACAGCCCTAAAAGAACCTTTAAAGGCTGCTGGGGCAGAGAGAGGCCTGCCTGTGGGCACAGCTGAGGGAAGACTATCCTAACTAGAACAACTGTGCCCTGAGCACTTCTGACCCCAAATTATATCCTACTAACTTCCCTAGTAAACTCCCTAACTATGAGGATGGTGTTTGAGTTCTGTGTGGTCAGTGCAATGAATGATCGAACCCAGCATGAAGGGAGTAGCACAGCATAACCCACTGCCGTTGAGTTGATTCTGACCCATAGAAACCATATATGACAGGATAGAACTGATCCTTACAGTTTCCGAGTGTCAATTTTCACTGGAGCAGTCTCATCTTCCTCCCATGGAGCGGCTGGTAGGTTTGAACCTTGCTGTTAGCAGTTCAGTGGGTTCAATTTTGAGACATACAGATAGAATCCAATATCCTCATTTTACAGGTTTAGAGAAGTCATGGTTATGGCAGAATAGGAGCTAGAAACAGAATGCCTGATTCCTAGCTCAGGATTCTTTTTCACTGTACTAACTCCTTCTCTAAGGGAAAAGTTGGGTTTTTAAACAAATTCTTTGACTCTTCTGATCATATATTTCAAATCAATCTAGTTTACTCCAAAAACTCAAGGTGAGCACCAGTAAAAAAATTTTTAAATAAATAAATCACTGTAAAAAGCTAGACACATTTGCCAGAATACTGACCTTTGAAATGCAGCACATTTTCAGTGATGCTGATGGCAGGATTCTGTGAAAAAAGACCAAGGAAGTGAGGGGGGAAATTAAATTAAAACCAGGTGTCCCCTTCCTTTCTCCCTTCTTTGGGGGCTTGACTTCCTATCTTATGCCTCTCTAAGAAATATATTTAGTTGTCTGTTCATCTCTATGTGTAAGATTTCTTATGCTTGTCTTTAGTTATGAGATTGTAAGCTCCTACAATAAGGACCCTAAACTGTTCAACCTGTACCAAACAATAAGGTACTGAATTGGCCAATTGGCCCATTCTGACAACGGTGAGTTGTCACCATAGCAAGGT